CGCCAACAATGTGATTACGTATGAATGATGAAGATTGAAAAAAAACGCAATTTCACATGCCGAACCTTTCAAGATCGAGGTTCATCTTCGACAGCAAGAAGTTTCATCCATATATAGACCCAATTTGAGTACAGTAGACCGACATTACATCCACGTACCTGGAATGTTTTCATGTAAAAATGGTGAGATTAAACAAGTTTCAGTCGTGCCTAATCAGTACCCAAATAATAAGAATATCTAAGCTTACATGTTGACAGTGAAAGATCGAGTGTAGCTCAATTATTACATAAGATACGACATAAAATGAAATTGAAGGACCGAGGTTAGGAACATATACCCTATGCATGTTTTTAGTTTCGTGATTTATAGTTAACATTTTATTACAAATACTACTCGCGATAAATCTCAGAAATCTTGGACGCAAACAAATTTTACACCTGTTTGAACTTAGCGCAGTAAGTAAGTTGCCATTTTTGGCAAGCATAATGATAGATACTCTATGTCCAGGGAAGTCGTGAAAATGTCCAGCCCGAGAAATATCTGGTAGACTGTATCAGGAATCGAATTCGCCGCCTTCAGCACGAACTTTTTTATGTCCGCTAACGGGATGATCCTCGAGCAGCCACGCTACGAATAAAACGAAATTACAGGGTGTCTCAGAATAGGTAATAGTAAAATAGATTAAATGTATAACAAAACCAGGGTTGGCCACTGGATTTATGAAATTAAATTCCCGGTTGACCATCATCACCGGATTAATGAAAATAGCTAAATATGAAGAAATCCTCTGAATAACATTGGAATCTCGGACTGATAAATTTTTTGAAGATTACCTACATGAGAAAATATCTACCACCCACCGCATAAATGGAGGAGTTACTGTACAACTAAACATTGAACGTTGAAAAGGTTCAATAGGAAAAAATGATAGTGGAAAAGTAGCAAATACATTTTTCGTTAAAGTATTTGTCTCTGGTTTGTTTTTTTTTCCTAAAAAAAACTAACATTAAATGTTATTTAAATTTTGTTTTTATATTAAACTAGCTTAGTGTGCCCGGCCTTGCTCGAGATTCAATATAAGCTTGAGTTTATGCGCCGATTAAAAAGAATCATGCTATATTGTACGTAGCCCCCCCCCCCCCCTCTTATCTGAGGTGCTACCTCTTATATCCATCTCCTTAAAGGGTGTCCACGATGAAATTGCCACACTATGAAATTGCTCTAACTTTTTAACCGTTGGGTAGAATTTAATGAAAATTTGGGTGGATTTAGTTCATAGTGCATTATTTACATCCTGCAAGTTTTAAAGTCCTGTGATCAAAACTCGCGGAAATGGAGTCGAAAGAACAGCTCGTGCGTGATAAAATCTTGCGCATTCATCACGAGAACAAGGATCTCTCGCATCGTTCCATCGCTAAAACGTTGGGAATCGCGAATTCCACGGTGTCGCGAGTGATTAAGCGGTTCGAGGAACGGTTGACCACCGATCGGAAGCTCAGAAGTGAAGGAAAAAGTATTCCGTACAACACCAAAAATCACAACCGCGTAGTTGGGGCCTTCAACCGAAATCCGAACGCCTCCGTTAGGGATGTGGCTAAGAAGCTGCACCTAAGCCGAAGTTTTGTCCAGAAGGCCAAAACTAAGGCTGGGCTTCGAACGTTCAAGGTACAAAAGGCCCCTAATCGCGACGAAAAGCAGAACAAGTCCGCCAAAACCCGTGCCAGGAAGTTGTACCTCAACATGCTGACGAAAGTTGAATGCTGCATCATGGACGACGAAACATATGTGAAGGCCGACTTCAAACAGATCCCCGGCAACCTTTTTTTTTACGGCCAAGGATAAGTTCAGCGTTCCGGAGCATGTCCGCACTCAGAAGATGTCCAAATTTGCGAAGAAATTCCTGGTTTGGCAAGCCATCTGCACGTGCGGGAAGCGGAGTGCACCTTTCGTGACCCAGGACACGATGAACGGACAGGTGTACATAAAAGAGTGCCTCCAGAAGCGGCTGCTTCCTCTCCTGAAGGCCCACAACGTCCCAACAATCTTCTGGCCGGATTTGGCCTCATGCCACTACTCCAAGGACGTGCTGAAGTGGTATGCGGACAATTAGGTCAATTTCGTGCCGAAAATGTTCAACCCTCCCAACACTCCGGAGCTCCGCCCCATCGAGAAGTACTGGGCGATTATGAAGCAGCACCTTCTTAAACGACCTAAGGTAGTGAAGACAGTCGAGGAACTGAAGAAAGTATGGGTTTACATGCAAAAAACGGTTGATTCACAGGTTGTGCAGAATCTTATGGCCGGGGTTAAGGCCAAGGTGCGGGCATTTGCGTATGGACTGTAAATAAAATACGAGTAAAATGGTAAAATGAAGTTTAATAGTTATTTCTCAATCTCTGAAAATTTGATGGCAATCGGATGAAAACTTGAATTTTGCGAATCAATTTTGTGTGTGGCAATTTCATCGTGGACACCCTTTATACCTCCACATGCCAAATTTGGTTCCAGTAGCTTGATAAGTTCTCGAGTTATGCAGAAATTTCTGTTTCATTTGTATGGAGCCCCCCTTACCGAAGTGGGAGGAGTCTTGAACACCATCATAAGAACCATTCCCGGCCCCAAAAACCCCTGCATACAAATTTTCAAGTCGATCGGTTCAGTAGTTTCCGAGTCTATAAGGGTCAGACGGCAGTGCTGTAAATTCTCAAAATCAAAAATGACAAAAGCAACTATCCGCTATCAAAGGAAACCTTAGTCATTTGACGAAGGCATGGATCATTCTCATTTGAGAAACGCTTGATATCTTTCAATTGAGTATAACCTACACATAAACGGAGCCCTGGTCGACATTCCGGCGAAAAAACTAAGCCGACCCGACACCAACCTGACTTCTACCAAACAGACAGACAGCCAGGACAGACAGGACAGACAAGACAGACAGGACAGACAGACAAGACAGACAGGACAGACAAGACAGACAGGACAGACAAGACAGACAGGACAGACAGGACAGACAGGTCAGACAGGTCAGACAGGACAGACAGGACAGACAGGACAGACAGGACAGACAGGACAGACAGGACAGACAGGACAGACAGGACAGACAGACTTATCCCATGAAATGTTCCGATAGTTCCTATCTACGTTGATAGATTTTATTAATCGACTTTCTTTCTGAAGATGCACTTCGTGCTAGTTTAACAACATAGTTTGATAAATGAAGATATTATCTAGTGACCAAAACATCCAAACAGAGTCAACAGATAATATGTTGCTACTGAGTCGATAAATAGAACCGATTTATTTAGATAGGATCTCCTGAAAAGATCGTCGAGCTATTTTAATAAATGCATATTTCAGTGGCGTTTTCTTAACCTCAATCTATAGTGCACCAACCCTCAAAACATAAACAATTATCAAAATGTTGCTTGCAATGGATAACACTATCAGGTAGATGAATGATTCCTCTACCATTTGGTTTAGTTTGTTCATGAGATTAATCTGTTATTCACGAGAATTCGGCGATTGATGTGTTTGTTTACAAAAGCAATTGGGTTCTTTAAGGGTATTGAGGTAAATGCATATTCGTAATCTGCATTAAAAATGGAACCCAAACCCAAAATTTCATCAATTTTGGTACACTGGAACTATTTTAAATATGTACAATTACATTTGCAAAAATCACCTTATTAGCGCCCCTCGGTGTCACTTTATATGGGAGCGAGCTGTCAGTTGGTCAGTTTAGTGTCAAACAGTGAAGTTATTATTTTGCTTTAAATCTTGATTTAAAAATCTAGATGGAAGTGTGTGGGTTCGAAAACGAAGCTCTTTCAGATGATATATAAAAACCGATATATTTTTCAAAATTAAAGAACCCAATTACGCCCAAATCTCAAATCACTCCGGTGATATCGAGTAAACTAGAAGATTAAGTGTATTTTTCAACCGATTCGAGTATGAATGTGGCATCAAATCTGATTTTGACTAAAGAGAACGGGTGCACAGGTAAAAAGTGAGGTTACGATACACCACATATTTGAAAATTTGCTTTAATCGATCTATGAAATTGTAAATTACATACACGATCGAACCTATAAATCAGCTATGAACACCAATCAAAACATAGTTCATAGTGAACATTTCTCTCCAACCATCAGTCAACAACCAATTTAATTGATTAAATTACACCCATTTATGGGCCTTCCACCAGCATATCCAAATTTCCGCAAACGATCAATCAATTGCCATCAAAGTGATTCGTTCCAACGAATGTCCCCGTCGATGTCTCGCTGTTAACATTTTGAGCCACGGAATTCCAAAGTCATCCCATAGTGTGATTGACTCCTGTTCGCACCCCACAAACGATAAATTATGATGCCGCGCGTTCAGTTCTGTATGTTTGATCTCCTCTGCAGTGACGAAAATTTGCCAGGACAGAAAACGGTTTTTACCTTTCCACCACCACAACCGGCTCTTCTCGCCGTTGATAATTGAACAAAGTTCAAATGCTCTCAATCCGGTACGGCACACGGCGTTAATTAACCGTAGAGCATCTACTTGTCACAGCGATCAGGCTAGTAGTGAACCGATCGCGCAGACTCGCTGACAAGTATCATCAATCCGGTCGGTGCGCGCGGTTCACCGAATAGCTCCGCCCGCCAACTGAAACCAAAAACACGGCGCAAATCGGCCGTGATTACTCGCGAGAAAAAGAGCGAGCTAGAGAGCAAGACACACGCCCATCGTCACAACATCGAGGCGCCCAGCAATGACTTTCTCGATCGTCGTGAGTCGACTTTTGCGGCCGACTCTTCGTGCGCGCGGTTCTACGAAATGAAGATGAACCATCATCGTCATCGACGGTGTCGTCGTGATCGACGGCGTTCACGGCTGTCTGTTGTTTGAAACCATGCTCGTTCGAATGAAAACCCTCCGAAAAATGTTGTATTCTAATTAAGGCAATTAAGTAATTGGTCTGTACATGGAATTTGTTCGCTTACGTGTTTGTCCTTCATGTGCTTCCTTTCGCTCGTTTCCTCAGTGCAACGCAGCGATTCCGGCGGGGTATCCGACGAATTGGGGAATCATCATCGTCCTGTGGGGTTCACACGTGATTTCACTCGTAACAGTTATTAATAATTATTCATATAGCACTATCCGTTCGCACACAATTACCACACACGATTGGGGTCGTAAAATGCCTGCCGAAGCCAAAGAGTAAAACACATAAAAATTACTGTTGCGAAATTAATATTTCTCTCCACACCGCATGCCGAAGGGGTGATATAAAATATAACCGTAATCGATAACCAGTGCCAACAACAGCTTCACACACTCAGCAATTACTCCCTACTTTACGCTGGCTAAATAATAAAGTGTCACTGAGCATCATAAAACGCGTGTAGGCAGGCACCACTCCACTCGTCGTTGACTGGCTCGATACTGAACGAGGCGTCGGTGATGGTCTGTTTTGTTCCAAACCACTGCGGCGCGCCGTTTGCTTGCTGCTCGCTGATGCAGATGATGATGATAATCGACACACAACAGTACACCAGATATTATCCAATTTATCATAAAATCACCCACTCTGAGAGCGCGCGCGACAAACGATGTGAAAACTTATGCTCCGTGCTCCTTGCTCGCTGTCTGTGATGCTGCTGCCTTCACGCAGTTACACCTCTTCTTCCACACCGACCGATCGGTTTCAACTTCGAGTGTGTACACAAAAACACCAACTGACTCCCTATAAACTACACATGGGCAGCAGCGCATTGGAAGGATTGGAAAGACTCACCCGCTCGTCGCTCGACACAACAGAGATCACTCAAAAAGTGCCGTCGAAAATCATCATCGTCATCATCGTTATCGAAATCGTGTGTGAGGAAAAGTAAGAAATAGCCATATACTAAATTGACGCTTTCGGCTCACCCATCAACCCAACCACCCACCCACCAACCGACCGACCGTTGCCGTAGTGTACACACAAAGTCGTTAACTATGCTGCTGCTGCTGCTGCTAAATGGTTCACTTCTACTACCGCGCACTGACTGCCCGCTCCGCTTGATCCACAAAGCCGCCAGAAGGTAATAGAAGCAATATCAGCACCATCACTAATAGCATCAACGGCAATAATAAGCAATAATAATATCTATATCAATGGATGGATGACGATAAACGTTTTCCGCCTGATGTTGCTTGCTTGCACGACGACTGCCGATTGCGCGGGGTAGGGAACCGGCGCATTGATCGCAAGAAAGGCGTTCAGGATGCGAGTAGATATTATGGCTATGCGGAGAATGTTTGAGCGGTTGTCTTATTGGTCAACGAGACAATTTAAAGCACGTACTACAGTTGCTTCCCGTTTTTTGGCAACAACAGGCCTGCATAGCCATTAGGTATTATTTTGAATGGTTTTAAAACAGTGCTTCAGGTTTTTTTTTTATAACAGTGACTGGGGAAGTCAGAAGTAACTTCGGGAGGGAAATGGAAGAAACTTCCAGGGGTATTCTAGGAGTACCTCCAAGGAAGTCGGAATAATCCCTCCAGGAGATGTTGGAATAATCTTTCGGGTGAAGCAAGAAACAACTTCGGGAGAATTTAGATGAAAATTCCTAGGGTAACTAATTGGAATGAACATATGGGGGGAAAAATCTTCTTATATTAAATTCATCGTTTAAAAATGTATTGTAAAATTCTGTGGTTTCCGCATAGTTAGATTGTTTACGCTCACCAAACCAAACCAAACCAAACGAGGCGATAAATTCTCACCCCGGGAACAGTATGGAAGAAGGTGTCACAAGAAGATATTATGATACTATGCCCAAGAAAGCTAACCTAGAGCAGACCGGGAATCAAAAAGTTCTTACCTCACGCTTCCTACAGTCGTATTACAGGGTGTGATTAAATTAAATTACTATCCTGAAAGTTGCGTCATTTGACATCGCATGAAATCTGGCATCACTGATTTCTATCAGAATATTTTTTTACGTTTGCAGTGATTCCATACCAAAACGAAATAGTGGTTCTCAGAATTTCGTAAAAATTAGTAGTTCTGTTCCTTATTGCAGGGCGTCCATTCAAATCCAATTTTCCAATTCCCTGTTTTTTCCCGGTTATTTAAAAAAAAAAACAACCAAAAAATCACCGCTGCCTTAAACTAAAAAGGCATTCAAAAATAACTGTTTAAAGATAATCATATTTTTTCAGCAGAATTGCTCTACAATACGTCAATTTTGCAGAAAAATATCAGACAAGATTTGCATTAATAGTGGTGTTGAGTACTTGGCACTGATGAAGTCTGCAAGTAGTAGAAGAAATACGCGTATCTGTCAAAAGATAAGCAATTATAACGGAATTTAAAGGAAATAAACCAACCCACTCAAAGCTCTTCATTAATATGTTGTTGATCTAGATCTCCAAAAGCTCATGGAAGCATGAGTTTGTATAAAATCAAAGGGTCTCCTGCAAAAATTTAGCCTAAATGTTGTTTTGGTATGTTGAAAAAAGCATAAATCAATACACAGTATTGAAAATTCTTAAAATCTTCCAGAAGTTTGGATCTACATGCCTAAAAACATTTTGTGAGATACAAAGATGTGTTACCAAAAAATATTTAAATTGTATTGGAGACATACATATCTTGTTCGATTTCCACTTTTGAGCATTTTGAATCTCCGTTCGAAATATAACTTAAGATTATCAATACGATGATTCGACCTTATGGTTGGTTGGTTGGTTGTCTTTATTAAGGAGATTTTCAGCCAGACGCTGGTTCATCTCCGGCATTCGACTTAATGATAGAATGGGTAAACCTTGCCCAAGTAACAATTTTGGTTTTATCATGGTTTTGAAGAGGCCTTACAGGTTTAGAATTGATTTAAAGACCACATTTAAATCGGAAATGTTGCTTGTGTGGTTTGGAATATTAGGTTTTCCAAAATTCCTGGAGTTCAGATCTTTATTATTTTTTATTAATTTATATATTATATCACTATATATTATATTATTATATGTTATATTATTATATATTACACTATATATAAAAGTAGCTTTAACACTCATGGATCATCCGTGTCTTATCCCGGATAGATTTAAGTTCAATTTAAGATTTAGGGGTTATCATTACCCCTGGAATGATTTACCTCTAAGATAATCAAGTACATTGACTTCGGCGTGAGAGGTATGGATTCAGATCTTTATATTTTACAGGTTAATCAAGGTATTCTACGATATCCTGACTAATCTTGTATACCTGATTAGCACAAAGTGCAGACATTATTTTTAATTTATCTCTGGACCATATTTGCAGGTCAAGCATGATCGGGTATGCAAGGAGTTTGAGATCGGACATTTTTTTTAATTGACATGAATTTGCTTCTCTATCTTCAAGTAGCTTCGTGACAAGATATGTCTGGGTTAGGCTTTATATTAACACTACTTTACTCGGAAAACTGTAGCAAAATAATTCAAAAAATGTTCATCCAATGTCAAACAAAAGAAATTCCAAAAAAATTCTCTGTAAGCTATCTTGGTAGCTCCACATGTTCCAACAAGTGAAAGAAAAGAATAGATTTCTCGCGTCACTTTTCAAATAGACCAATAACATATAAGTAACATATCCACCATTTTGAGAAAATCGAAGTTGAAGTTCGACAGATTATTAATTTAACTGTTTAAAAACAATACATTTTGCAATACTATTTTTAATGTAGCCAGTGTATAATAACGTTGAAAATTCAGAAGAAACGGTAAAATCACAATTTTACTTTGAATTTCATGCTACAACAGAAAAAACCACATAGGACGTTTTGACAAGTCGAGTTGTACATCGGACATGTTACATTGGACGATTTTCCTCAATGACATAATCAATGAGTCGATACATTGGACGTTTTTTCTACATGATACTAGATTCCCTTTCACAGATTTCAGAGTATAGTATCTAACTTTAGATTGGCCCCGCTTTTTGAAAATGAGCACCAATCATGTTAGGCAGTCCGAATGACCGAAGTAACAATCATGTACCCATCATTTCAAACTGTACATTGGACAATTTTTTACCTATGATTATCTTAAATAAATGAAAGTGAATTTGGATTGATGTTTTTGTATGACATACAATGATAGAAGAGCAACAGTTTGTATCGCTTAACTTGGTTTGTTTAAATTTGTTACATTGGTCTATTTGAAAAGTGACGCGAGATTTGTTTTGTAATTTTGATACTTTACCACAGTGAAAGGATAATATGAAAATTGTAAACAGAAGTGTAAACAAATGCATATAATTATGTATATTAAAAAATTGATTGATTCCATGTAAAACTGCAAGTTTTATAAGGGTTTATGATTCTTGAAGACCAAATTATGGTCTACAAGACTACGATAAAACCAAAACGGTTACTGTTGGATGAATATACAGTATATTTCCCGGTGCGATTTGGGTTTTCCCGCATTTTTCCCGGTTTTTTCTCGGCAAATCCGAATTCCCGTTTATTCCCGGATTTCCCGGTTTTCCCGGTTGGATGGACACCCTGTTGCAAAACATTAGAACAGTATTTTTATTTTGTCGTTAGGGTTAGGGTGGTCAAAAACATCGATTTTTTTCAAAAATTCATAACTTTTGAATCAGTGGGCCGATTTCAAATATCTGAATATCAAATCAAAGGTGCTTAAAAATTCTTTTTAGACAGAGGGCGCAACATGTTTTATATGAAAACCCGAAGTGATTGCATGTATTCTAATATTCTAAAAAAAATAACAAAAAATACCCTCAAACCTCGAATTGCACCCTCTTTCCATGGCACTGACAAGATATTTGCATGACAGGTTAGGCCGCGAAAAATGAAGCCCAGCATGATAAATCAGAATTTAATATTCTTAGGAGATTTTTCCTTCTTATAAACATGAGTAGTTCTTTCCAATTTAATAATTGTCATTAATTTTGACAATGCAAATGGAGTTGAAGAATATAATAATTAGGATTCAAAACTATAGTGAGAAACTTAAATTTAATTCTTTTCGGAGAAATAGAGAAGGATTAGTAATCTCAATTTAATTCTACTACCTAGTTTGTATATCCTTAACAGATACGGGTATTTAATTTACAATTGCTTATCCTTCATAAATACGCGTATTTCGTGTACGCGTATATGTCTAGGATAGTGTTTTCATTTCCCGGCCATTTTGGCTTACCGGGAAACAG